TAAATACCTGATATTTCTACACTACTACACCTGGCATTGGATCCCAATCCAGACATGCCTCTGAACCCAAGAAAGTCTGCGGAGACTCAGTAAAGACAGCAGAGCATTTCAGAGTCTGTGGCTTACAGAACAAGGCACAAGTAAGCAACACTGTCTAAAATTCCATTTTCTACATTCATGCACCTTTCTCAACTCCTTGAAAGAACAGAATATATAATTAAAGAAACCAATTAAATGGGACAATATTGCTAAGCATGAGGTTAAGGTACATACACTTGCTTTTGGCATTCAGTTTTGTTTTTCTATGCAATAATCATCATTCAATAACTTATCTATGAGTTAATGGTACCATGTTGTTTTGATTTTTTTCATTTCAATTAGCATCATTTTATGTGGTCATTATGTGTGAACCTCTGCTAGAAGTATCCTAGGCATATACTAATTATTACAAATGAGGGAAACCATGGAGTTTGGATTTGGGTTTGGATTTCTAATTCTACCAATCAAGCTAAGCCATAGACCAGCAATACATTTTCCAGAAATCTTTGTCATGTCCCTTTGTCTCAGAACATTTTCAAAGAAATGAGAAAAAGAAGTTTGGAGTTGATGGAACCCTAAAAGGGTAATAACAGAGAAACTGTTTTCAAAAGAAGCCTTTTCATACTTTCTAATGAAATTGAATCATAAATTTAAATTTAAAAATGCACAATAACTATTATTTGTAGTGCTGGTAAAAAAAACACATAGGCTTATATAATGAAGAATAGGGTCAAATAATAGAGTCTCTACAAGGAAAGCTAAAACCTAGAGGCAAACTTTTAATTTAATTTCTTGCTGTCCCCTGATTTTTCTCCAACTTTTTGAATGATGTCTTCTAAAACATCATCTCAATGTTAAAAATGAAAATCTTCACAGGCATTAAATTACAGGAATGTTTTTGAATTGTGTGGCATGTCCTTTCATCTTTTCTGCCTCTAGGGGGAAGTGTGTTTTCAACATTTCTCTCCAGAAGGTATTTTCTTATGGGTTACAGGCTTCACTGGGGCTTTCTTTAGTGCAAAACTTTAGATGGCAAAACTAGGGAGAAGAGTCCCTTTGAAAAATCTAGATGGGTGCTTACTTTCAAGGTGGCAGCCAAGATACAGCAGGAGAAGGGTTATAGAGACTTAAGAATAATGGGCAAAAATTCTTTCCACAGTATTTCCACTACATTTCAAAGAATCATGGTAGACACCCCATATGGTCTGGCTTTCCTAACTAATAGAAAAACATCTGGGCGTCAATTTTACTTTAAAGAGCTAGAAATAAAATAGTTGAATACTTTATAGAAAACTTGCCCACTCATTTTAGTAGCTTAAAGTTAAAACAAACAATGGTGTGGGGATCTTGATGAAAACACTTCTACATCCTGTAATGCCTATTAATTTCTGCAATATCACTTTTATTAGTAACATCATCTATAGGTTCTCAAATGTCTAATTTTATTTTGTCATATATCCTCATAACTTTCCTTTGTGTTTATTCAACAATTGAAGCCAGAAACATTGTCCTAAAGTTGATGTTCCTTTGAATGCAAAAAAAAAAAAAAAACCAAACAAAAAAACAAACCTATTGCTTTTTTTCCTATGGCCGTGTTTTACCAGATTGAAAGAATCAATATTTTAAAACTGAGTCCAATAGATGAGTTTGCTTAATTTTTATGAGTAAAGTCTTATAAAATTCCATTATAAAATGCTATTTTCAGCTTTACTATAGTATATAGCCTAAAACCTTAGCTATATAGAAGATAAAAACAATGTCTGGCTCTTAGAGACTGTAGCCCAAGCAGGCCTTTATTTGTGATCCTCCTGCCTCAGTTTCCACAGTGCTGGTGTTACCTGCTTCTGTAAGTTACAATTTTGATATAGCAAATGTTATTATTTAAAGTATGAGCCAGTTTTTAATCCCCAACCTTCTTTCATATGGTGTAATGGGTGATACATGGTTTATTTTTAATCCACTCCCAACTTAAAATATTCTCAGATGACAAAGAGGCATTTAAAATGCGTCTTGTAAATTCTTTTGGCGCAATAATTTTACTAAAGACGGAGACATGTTAGGCGGAGGACTTTTAAATGATTTTTTTTGTTTACTTAATGGTATTTATACCAACTTTTTGCAGACTGCAAAATAATCTCATTTGATGGAAAGTACACACGTTCCTGACATTCAATGACGTACACTTATATGACTTGGTCAGTCTTTCTATAATCTTATGATGTATCTGTTCATTAATTTCTAAGGTTGTGTTCTGTCATGGCAAAGGACAGGAATACCTGGCTTTTAACTTTCTTTTCTCCATTTTGGGGGGTCTTTGCCTCCACGACTTGGCCTTGTGTTCTGTATCAGCAAGTTAGAAGTTGAAAGCTCCTACCCAAAGTCCAAGGGGAGGCCAGGGGCACTCGCCCTAATGTAATCACCCTGCCCTGCTGTTGACCTTCGGGTGAGACTGGGCAGCACAGCGCGTGGGATGGGAGAGGCCTTCAAACCCGGTGCCACTGAAACCCCAGACTCCCATGGTAAGCCCACATCACACACTGCAGAATCATATCGCCATTGGCCAGACACTGGGCATACCAGAGAGTAATAGGAAACCTCGGTCTTGTCTCCTGGCAACGGGTGAAGTCCACTAAGACTCTTGGAATTCGGGATTTAGCTGTTGTCCCGTTGTCTTTTTTTTTTTCTTAAATAACTATGGTCCTGTAAACAAACCTCTGCCCTCCTAGGAGTTCAGGAAGGATTTAATTGCTATGAAGCGCTAAATCTCAGCAGTGTGTGGATTACGGGTGTAGAATTAAATTTAATGTAGATGACTCTTGGGGTTGGGGTTACTTAGCAGCTCTAATTAAATAAATGAACGTTCTCACAGGAGTTAGAAGCTCTTATTTACAGTGAGGATTTAGGGATCACAGTGCATAATCTTACATCTAAATGACCCCAGAGCATAAATCGTTACCCATAATTGCATTTAGGTGCCAGAAAGAGGGATCGCAGAGAGCTGTTAAGGCCTGGGCCGGTGCCTGGAGTCGGTACATTCTCGGAAACTTCAGTTTGCCTATTTCACAGTCAAAACAAAAAACGAGAGCAAAGGCCTTTGGGGCCTGAGAGTTAAAGCTGGGAATGGGGTGAGGAGAAAGGAGGGAGAAACCGACCTTGGGCCACCGGGGTGAAGTGTCGGTGCAAGTTTCGGCCGACAGAGGGCGGTAGGTTGAAGACAAATTGAACTTTTGTAGCCACGGAAGCCCAAGTCAAACGGACGAGTATTTCAAACCATTTTTCAATTTATTGTAATTTGTGGGACTTAAGTATCCGAGTTCTCTCGGGCACTGTAGCGTGTGCACGTGACAGATGACTTTGGGGAGGTAACTACGCATAGAGGGTCCAGTTGGTTTCTGATCTGCCCAACGCTGCGCCGCGGACTCCGGCGATGCGCCCCTGGTCTCGGTCACCTCCAAACCTGTTCCACGCCGTCTGCGTCTCCATCGCGGTGGTGGCTCCGAGCAGTAGGGGCTCTGGGTGGGCAAGGCATGCTCCCTGCAGCAGAGAGCAGGAGAAGCGGATGTGTGGCCGGGCGTTGGGGAGCTGGGAAGCGTGCGTCCCGGCTCCGGGAACTCCGGGGGGGGGGGCTGGCGAAGATAGTCAGCCCTGGGCTAGCAAACAACCTCCCCCCCCCCCCCCAGAACACCTTAAGGATGATTTTCAAGCTTAGTGACACTTCCAGAACCTGAACCCATTTCCTCCCCGTTTGGGAGCAACAAGTTTCGCTTTCCTAATCTCAGGGAACCCGGAGAGGGTCTGTGCGCGGGGACCTGGCAGCGCCGCCATCGCTGCGCAGCGACTCTGGCTGATGCGGGATCAGTCCCCGCTCTGACCCTCCCCCCCATCGTGGAGGGCGCCTACAGAGAAGGGGGGGCGAGGAAGAAGGGTGCAGGTAACGCTCCAGACAGCTGGGCATGCCGGCTCCGAAAACGAGTCTCCGGCATTGGGACCTGGGTCCTTGTTCCCGGACCTGGTTGCGGGGGACCTGGAAGATCAGGTGCGGGACTGGGAAGAAACCTGGCCGGAGGAAGAAAAAAAGGTAAGAGCAATCCGAACCTCCGAGGGTTTGCCCTGAAACTACCATCCGCCCCACTCCCGGTTTCCCCGTGTGTGTGTGTGTGTGTGTGTG